ATGGTCGCCTACAGCAATGACGAACGCATTCTGAAATGTGCATATCGAATCCAGACCGCATGTAAGTCACTTTTATTTTAACACATCTTAACTCTGGTATGGCGTTCATTGTGATGAGACTATACCGCACCGTCCACTACCGCCTTTCTCGCTGGACAGTTGCAGCGGTCGAAAGAAGGATGTTCATTTATGTAAGGTGAATGCACGCTGTGGCAGTCCAATTCACTTCCTTTAACCAAGGCTTAGAATTAGCAGCGCGCTAACAGTTAATACATAGTTACGAAGAGCGGACACAGCAGCGCTGCCGCTTGCCACTTCCCTTTCCCGAACTTAGCACGAGAAACCTGTGATTAGCTGTTAGAGAGCTATCTGTCGCGTACGCGAAGCGAGCGCTTAAATCGCTCAGGTCGCGAAGTATGAATGTAAGTGTGCGATGCGACTTTCATAGTGACCAGTAACTGTCTTATTAAATTCTTTCAAGTTGTAATGGTTGTTTAGTGCCACCTGATAGCCATCATGCTGATAAAATCATTTTTGTAACCGACGACTGCAATCTCTCGCTGAAAGCAGCTGCCCATTCTGTGAAATGTATGTCATCTGAGGTGCGTTGAATTGACTATTGACTATTGACGAACAACGTTGGGGTAACCAATATTTGGCATTTAAACATTTTTCCTTTTCATGATTGGATCTCTTCACCTTGGCACTCGCGACTTATAGCAATTACGAATATTCGCGGCGGGACTGTAGTAGAATGTAGAGATTTCGGTACCTGCATAATGCTAACTCAGCTGGAGAGGGCCACGCCCCAAATTATAAACTGCGCGAATGATCGGCCTTGGCATACCAGCCTCAGAAACAAAAAATAAAAAAAACTAACCAACAGTGCGGTCGACCGCTGCTTCACCAGGGCACATCGTTGTTGGGAATCCCCAACAGGGGGTCGTATTTGGCCGCCAGGAGAGGGGGGGTCGTAGTGAGTGCGGCAGCCAGTAACGAGCAGCGCAAATTGTCAATGTGCTGAGTCCTGTACAACGAAACTTGCTAGAGAACTCGGATATGCAAAAAAATAGTACAAAACTTTCATTCATCAAACTAATCCGAAATAACTGCAAATATTAATAAGTCGACATTATCTCGTAAGTCCGTTGGTGACTAAACAGTACAACTCAAACTGGTTCGCTGCCAATGATATGGCGTGTCCGCGGGGGAGGGGGGGTGGGAGGGGGTGTGTGTCCAGGGGCTGGTCGGCGCTTGGCGCTGAGCCAACCTGTTTTTTCTCGACAAGCGACAGGACTACCATATCGTTCATATCAGACGTTTTCCAGCAGTTGGTCTCCTTTATCGGAGTCAGCGATTGGCGGAGCACGAATCTGGCAGCGTTGACAGGGACATGTTCCATCATACGCAACGGAAAACACTGTAAACAAGTGCACAGGCTCGCCATGGACCTCCCTGAACCTTATAGACACATTTGCTCGCGTGAACAGACATTACGCACAAGTTGCACCATCCCATCACCTCTGCGCGGCCCTCAGTGCGCGGCGCATCCAAAGTTGGCGTGATCGGCGCTAAACGAACCATATCCTGCTCCTGCTCCACCACAGGATACGTTCTACATGCGTTCCTGGCTATTCGAACACGCTCACTTGAAACGGTACACAGGAAACGGGTTTTTCGCGCAGCTGGGAGTGTTCCTCAAGAAATCCCCATAGCGAGATCTCATGAATCCCGAGAGCTTCAGAAACAGTTCAAGAGGTTTTAGAAAGAGAAAATCTTCAAACACTCGAAACCATTCTCAGATTTGTGAAATGTTGAGTTACAAAAAAATATATTGATTCAAACCTGTTCGGTTGAAACCACTCCCCAACGAATCCCTATGGCAGATTTCTCTGTGATTTTTGCGACGTTCATAAACGTTTTAGTACTTTTAGGAAGTGCAAACCTTCCTCTACACGATACGGTCCCCCGCTTTCCCCACAGGTCGCTTTTGAGGAAGTTATGGTCCTTCAAAGACACCTAACTCAGCTGGAAATTCTCGCTCCATGGCTAAAATTGCCGAATAATCTCCTGTCACAGCCGCAATTACATGCGCTTCTGCTACCGTACTCCACATAATCGGGGTAATGCATTTTTACGGCGGTTTGTATAACTGTTACGTAGTGAGACAAGCCTAACTTTCTCTTTTCCTCGTCCTCAATCTTGGGAATAGACGTTGTTAACACTGTGGTCGCTGATGGCCGCTCCCAGAGAGGGAGTCCACCTCAGGTTAACGAATGCTCATTGAATTTAATCGCGATATATCGTTATTATTACCATGTGTGTTTCAAAACGGCCATCGAAGAAGTTCATCATACGAGTTTCTCATAATACGATTGTACCGTTTTTTTTGCAATCATCTCTGTATTGTTCTATTATGTCATGACTTCAAGTCGTCCATTTAGTATGGGCACCTTCATACAAGTAGAATTTCATAGTGGGCGTTTCATAGTTTCATTTAAGGCGAAAAAAACCGAACGGCAAAAAAGGGGGGGTCGTACCGAACCCCCAAAAAAGGGGGGTCGTACAGGCTCGACCAAAATCCCCATCGAATGCTGTGCCCTGTGTTGGTCACTGAATCGACCCGCTTCAGCTGTTTAAGGTTGGCCTGCATGAGTGATGCCGCCCTTTTTTTCTTACACAATTATTAGGTCGTTCAGTATGAAATGTCCGTTTTTGAGAGTCAACTTCAGTTTATCATATCTCATACAACGCAAATTACAATCAATCAAAATATGATCCTAAGTTATCAACACATCTTTGCCATTTTAAAGGTAACTTATTAATTCCATCTCTATAGAAATCTGGGGAGCGAGAGGCAATAAAATCATGAAAGGCACTTTACATACATCAGCAGGAAGAATAATAATCTTATCCTGCAAGAAGGGTGATCTAAAGCTTGAAATAAATGCTAATCTTTAGGTCTAGCGTCGCAGAGTAAGGAGGATGAACGAGAGTTTCCAAGTCCAAATCCTGTAATTTTAACAAGGTCGAGTTTGCCACATGTGGCCGAGCGTTGTCCTGCAGTAGGAGCGGTCGGTCTCTGTTAATCATTCTCGGCTGCATAACAGCAAGCTTCTCCATCATTTCCTCCAGCTGTTGACAGTACGCCTCCGCCGTGATCGCCTGACCAGGTCTCGTAAAGCTGTAGTGAATCACTCCTGCGGAGGACCACCAAACTGATACCATAGTCTTCCTCTGGTGAGGGTCCGGCTTCGGCGTAGGTTTTGGCGGTTCCGACTTGTCCAACCACTGGTAAGACCGCTTCCTGTTATCGAAATGGATCCACTTCTCGTCACATGTGACGAGACGGTGTAAGAAAGGCTCGCTTTTTTGCCTAGAAAGTAAGGAAAGGCAAGCCTCAAGGCGGACCCTCTTCTGACGATCGCTCAAGTCGTGCGGTACCCAACGGTCCAGCTTCCTACTCTTGCCAATTTGCTTCAAATGAGACGAGATCGTCACCTTACATACTCCAAACTTTGCCGCTAATTCTCGAGTACTTTGAGTGGGATCAGCTTCCACTACGGCTTTAAGCTCATCGTTGTTCAGCCTTGGCACTCGTCGCCGTGCCTCCTCGATCATTTTGAAGATCGAAGTCGCCGGATTCAACTTGCAAACCATCGCAGTACTGTTCGTTCGCTTACGCCGGAGGCGCGGGGGCTCTGTGTCGCCGGCCATTCCTCTCAAAGGACGACGGTGATATTCCGAACTGCCTGTGCTGCGGTGCTTCCACGGCGGAACTCGTACTCCAAGACAACACGCAATTTGGACTTGTCCATGTCGTTACAAAAACCTTTCTAAAAAAGTCAGATTCCACGGCAGCCGGAGGTCCACCGAAGGTAAGAAAGAGGGAGGCTGCACCTTTACCAAAACTCAGTACCAAGGACTGCCGGAGCGTTTTGCCTTAGATACGGACTCTCGAACTATGCACTCTGAAAAACGCGACATTACATACCTGAACGACCTGAATATATGAGAAAACGGATCGTCTCCAGTTTCAAATAATTTTCCGCCTTTAATAGACTGTGTGATTCCACTTCAGTGCGTGTTTCGATATTTTGTCGATTTTTAGATTTCATTGAATATGCGGTGTTGGGTCACAACGAAAGTGTGTTGCTTGACACAACCTTTGTTAACACTTATCTCGGCTTGCCAAATCACGGAAAAGCTCAAAAATTTGCAGTATATGCTGCTTGCGATATCTTGCATTTAGTCAAGCGATCAAGAGATGGAATTTCGTCCTTGTAAATGTGTACTGCCAGAGGGACCCTCTTGGTGAGAGACTGCATGCGTATCTACACATTAATTTTGAACGTCTAAAACTGGGAGTGATGCCTGACATAATGATAATGAATCGTTTCATGAACCTGCAACGATTCCTCATTCTTTGACAGGATTCTTCTTGAATAGGTGATTCAATAAGCTCTCAGCTGGACTCACTAGTTTCGATGCTTTTGTGTGATGTCAAAATTGAAATAGTTGAATGGCGTAGACCGTTATTAGCATTTTTAAGAGAGAAAAGCATCTTTAAGAGACACAGTTTCTCAGCCGTATACTCATCGAATAGGCCTCTCCGACTTTAGCTTCTAAATTTTATGTAAAAAGGGGACGGCCTGATTGAAAATGCTCAATTTCCAGTATGAGCACTTAAATATCAGAGGATAGGGAAACATAAAAAAAAACGATAGGACTATCACATAGGGCAAGGAATTCTCTGCAAACAGTGTAAAACTCAATGGCCCAAAACTTTACATTTATATAACGCCATATCTTTATCTTTTCGTGAGGAAAAAGTGAGGAAAGTAAGCCATCACTTATGGGCCCACTCAATAGGTTATCGCCCTGAAATAATACGAACGGACCACGCCGCAACTCATCCTGTGTCCTTCCCCTTTTCCTGGGCTCACTTTTAGCGCAAGTCAGCGTTTCATTTTATCGTCGGAAGTCTTTGTTCGGTACGGATGATGCGGTCAGTTCAGGCAACAGGTTTTTAGTTTGCGGGTTTTTGTTTTTGTTGTGTTGTTTGGTCCTGTGTTGGCGTGCGTCGACCCGTTGTTTGTACTGGGTGGTGTGAGAGGGCGACAGGCGACAAGACGGTCGTGGTCGTTCGTATCAGTCGTTTCCTACAAATTGTTGTCACTTACTCGCTTTAACAATTGCTAGAGAACGCGCTGGCGACACGATCAACCCACGCCCCATCATCCGCAGCGAACAGTGTGTGCTGGCGCTGCGCTCGCGCGCTTCATCCAACTATGTCGTGGACGTTTTCCCTTTAGTATTTACCTACAGTTACAGAATTATTGCAAACTTATGGAGCAGTCGTATGTGGGAGACCCAGAGGAACCAATGGAGATCGACCCTACACCTGAACCCGAAGAAAGTTCAACCAGTACGTAACTACCGGTGTCTCAAAGTAAAGATCGTGAACCGCCTGCAAAGGGCAGGTAAATGTAATCTCACTATTTTAGATGAATTGCAAAAATTTCTTTTTCAGGAAAAGCAGAAGCACATTTATTTCTGCAAGCTGAGCGCCCTTAGTGTATCATGCAAGATAATCTTATAGTAAACACCTCTGCGATTTTGACTATAAAGATGATCAGAGATACAAGGAATGGGTGACCAGACCGTACGTCAGCACTCCAGGATAAGAGAATACAATTCTGAAGCGGCTAAGTACCATCGACTACGAGATTACGCAGACTGCAGGTGGAAAGTACGCAGCAGGTCGGACTGGGATGTCATCACGAGCAGAGTGTAGTGAAATATGATGAGAAACTTTACCACGGAAGTGGAAAACCAATAGCTTCGGTTGCTGATCGCCACACCTCAAGGAGCAGTTATACTTCATATTCATCTCCAGGTGTTGTCTCAAACGCGCAGCGCTTCTGAAAGTAGCAGAACTGAAAACGACCGTTTTTACACCTATAGAGACCACGGTCAAAAGAAAAGTTCCGTTTGTTCATCTCCTAAAAAAGTGAGAAGCCCCACAAAGAGCGTGAATTTGGTTGCTCCATCGCGTAGAAAACCGAGAAAAAAGAAAAAGGTCAAGAACAACTCGAATTGTGGAACAGCAAGCCCTCTCACACCAGCTGTAGTACAAGCTTCTGTCAAATCTCGAAGGTGCGTGACAAAGTTAGTCATTTTCATTTTCGTTCATTTTTTTCAGTTCCTATCACTTGTCTAGTAGTGATATATTTAGCGAATTCGCTAAGCATGAAGAGCTTCCTTGGATAGCTCACAAAGAAAACGCATCAAAAAAGATCCCTCAATCAGCGTCTGAACTTGCAGCTTCTGAGCTTGCTCTGATGGAATTTGCAGAGATCTGGAAAGGCTTGGTTGCAAAAGCCATGGAAAAGTTAGTTTATTCTCAGATAAGAAGTTTATAAAAGTTATGTGATTCACTGGCCGCGTTTATGCTGTTCGATTCCTTGACGATGCGAAATCTTGCGCAGGAGGAATGCATGGGTATCGATCTGGCGACTGCAGAAATTGCATGATCCGGCGATTGGGGAGACTCAGCGTTTCTGGCGATTGCGCACTGAAAGGATGGATGAGTATCGGTCGGGGTCGATCGCGTAATATCCGCAGTTGCTAGTTCAATGTACTCTCCTCATGGCGCAATCTACCAAATCGCCGAGTCTCCTAAGTCCTCGACTCTCGCTAGCCGCCGATTCTCCTGAGCCGGAAAGTAAGAACGCTGTCTAACCAAGCTTGTTTGCGTAAGGGATCACTATCTCGGTGAGAGGACGCAGACGTGCATTCTCAGTAGTGCCCCGCCGACTTCGTTAGCGTCGAAGGCCTTCGTGCCCCGCCGACTTCGTTAGCGTCGAAGGCCTATTCTCGATATCCTTGAAGTCTGAGTTGTTGTTGATTTTATGTATAATACGGTGGAAAGTTTTGGGGTGCCTTCGAGAGGGGGCACACCTCCGGCACGACCAAGTGCCGCTCCTCTGTTCCTCGAGACGTAGATTCTGGTCGTCTCTACCCTAGTAACGCTGAGCTGGCGAGGGGAAAATATCATCTAATCGTGTTACTTGGCCTTCTGCTTTCTATCCCATCTAACTACAGAACCACCGGAAGTTCCAAAAACACCCAGCTGGTATTTTGAACAAGCCCACTTCGCAAAACGAAACTGTAGGACAGCATTTTTAATTGATAGTAACTACTTATAAAAGACTGCTTTTGAGTTACTGACTAGAAAACAGCCTTTATTCTTCAAATTCAGGATAAAGCAAGGAAATCTCTCCCAGAAAGCTAGAACGGATATCGGACAATTGCGGGATTGCGCTCTACGGTGAGTCAGTTTTTCGATTACATTGTGCAATAATTGATTAATAACTCCGATTGAGGATTCTCACTCACTTGGAGACGCATAGGGAACCTTGAATGGGGACTTCAATTTCACCTATCGCCCTATTAGACCCTATTTCTTGGAGCACCTCAGATTTCCCTGTTACCCTATTAGTACCCTGTTTCTTATCGTTAGGGTATCAGGCGGATTCAAGTGCGAGTGGTCGCAAGCACATCTTCCTGTACTTACTTAAATGCGTCTTCCTTCTACTGTGGATCACTCGCATAGTCAGGGACAGACAAATGAAAACGAAGTTTTCTGGTGTTAAGATAATACCTCACCAGGAGGAAAGATACTTTTGGCACAAATATGAACCCCGGCTGCGATGTGCGTACTATTTTTTTCAATAACTAGCCTTCAGGGCACGTCGTGCCATTGGGGAAAGCTTTTTAAGAGACGATGCCCTTCAGAATTTCCTCCTCTGGTAAGACCTCCATCCCCATCTTATGCAGCATCTTCTTAAGTTCTTTGAAACCCCCTCTTTACAGCAGCCACGATCCCTCTCAGTGAGGACACCCTGCGTACGACGGGCCCTGCTTGCAACACTGCAGGAAGAAACCTAGGAAACTATGAGCAGTAGCAAGTTTTCCAAGGGGGGAGTCCTATCTGTCTCATTAAGCGCTCTTTCTTTCCAGCTATAGCACCACACCAATGACGGAATTCACTGCGTTTTGTAGTTTGTGCCTATAAATTCTGCATAACTATGCTTTTCCTCACCTCACATTTGATGTTTTTTTGTTGAGGCTGCATTATTGTTTTAGATTATGCGAGACCGGCGATGTACCTCATCTGGAGAAGCTCGTGACAATGTCGACCACACTTCTTTATTTCTACACGTTCGATCCTTCTCTCGAAAATCTGGTACGAGTTTTTATTGTAGAATGTTCGCAAACTTTTAAAAATACAAGTAT